TTTTTTTTTTTTTTGAATGTTTTCACTTGTGTTGTCAACCTAGTTGTATACTAGGTTGACAATGTAGCATTACTCAAAAAATATACTGGCAAAGATTAATGCACCAACTTGATTTTGGCTGCTTAGTTGGAAAAAAATTATACCTAATCCTGTTACGATTTTCCATAAATATTTTTTTGATAAAAAATGAATATTTGTGAAAAAAAATAATATTATGGTTAGAACTTAAAATATGTTGTAATATTTATCATGACCAAAATATTATCAACATGGATCATGGAAATCAATCTTGTAACCTATTATAATGAATATCAATGAAAGTGTTACAAATATTAATAAAATAATATTTATCTTAACAAAAATATTATCAACATGAATCACGAAAAATCAATTTTGTAAATTATTTTTAATAAATATCAATGAAAATATTGCAGATATTAATAAATTTATTTAAGTAATTTTTTTGATCATATCTTATTTGATCTTATTTGAAAACGTGTATATGAAAGCAATTAATGCATATATTTAAAAAGTTTCCAAAAATAGTATGCATTAAATGTTTCCTAAATTTTTGGCTACTATTTTTAGTATATGGTAATTCTTATTATATATATATATAGTATAGATATACATTTAGATTTGTGATTCTATGTTTCGATTTCTAATTTTTGAATACTTCTAATAATAAAATTTTAAATTCTAATGTTTTGTAGTACCTCATAAGTTTAGATTTGTATCTTTCACTGTACCGACCTTTACAATTATTTTAAAAAATTGTCAACTTGTAAATATATTTTATTACTAGTACGAACGCCCGTGTATTACACGGGTGCTTGCTAATTTTTTTCTTAAAATCTAAAATAGTAAGAAAAAGTAGTCGAAATTTAAATACTTTTTATAAAAATATATATATTATTATATATTTAGTATGACATTTTTTATTTGTGCGACTTACATGTGTTATATTATAATAACTTTTTTAACTTATAAATATAACTACTTTAAGCATAAATATATCAATTGAGAAATAATTTTATTTTTTATGAATTTTAATAAATAGTATTATTTTTTATTATTATAAAGATAAATATAATTTATTTATTTCATATATACAATATGGATGTCAAATCGAAGATCATCAAAAGATGATTAATTTGATATATTATATCTGTAACACCGATAAGAAATAAAAAAGTTATCAACTTTTTAAAATAAATTTATAATTCTATAGCTAATTGAAGGAAACAAATCAAAAGTCAGGGATATATTAGTCACTTAGTGGCTCACTATGTATAATTACAAAAAATTAAAGGGTTATATTAATACAAGTGATATTAAAATACCTAAGTTAGCTAAATATTATTTATAGAATGTCCGAACCTAGATTATTAATTATTAATATATTAATATTATTTGTCCAAACCTAATCACGAAGCATGATTCTTCGCCAAGTAGGATTCCGAAGCACCAGAAGCAGCCACATAGCTCAGCGCATTGGGGAATTATATATAGGGGTGATCCTTTAAATTTCATATTAATTCTTAATATACAATATTGAACCCAAGAGCGCTTGGATGAGATGGCTTGGGTCTCTTCCAGCTTAACCAGTGGTCTCGAGTTCGAGCCCTGGGAATGCAGCAGTGTTAAAACTCGTGAGAGAGAGCTTTGCCGCCCTTGTGGTCCTACCCGGCTCGATTCCGGATTAGTCGGTTCCCCTGTGGATCCGAAAACCGCAAGGTCCTTGTATTAAAAAAATATATATATACAATATATTAAATTAATAGATGATTTTCATATTGAAACTCATATATATATTATATAGGGACGATTACTGTCATTTCAAATAAAAGCAATAATTTTATTTTAAAAAATTATTTAAAATTTAACATGAAAAAATGTTCTTATTTGTTTTAAGTTTTTAGGTGTAAATTAATTAATTAACATTTGTATAAAACACGAGTGTCTTTGTACTATATATATTTTTTTTTTTTTTTTTT